GATGTTATCTAAAAAAAANAAAAAAAAAAAAAAATTGATAAAACAAATTATGATGAAAAATTTAATAGAAAAAAGAAAAAATCAAATTAAAATTGAAGAAAAAAGAAAAAATGAAATTAAAATTGAAATAAAAATTTGTCAGCCAAATGACATTATTTTAAGATAGGAAAAGAATGATAAGAAATGACACATTAAAAGTTTAAGAAAAAAGAAAAATTAATTTTAAAATATCCAATAATGGGCTTCTTTTTATAGATATAATCATGTTTACTGCACAATATGTTATTACGATGTTAACAATCACCTAGGAAATTTTTGACTAATAAGCCAAGTGTTAGGCTATAATTTCATTCTGATATTCAAAATGTATAAGTAAACTAGACTTGTTTTTTTACTAACAAAGGTGTTATACTATGATGGTTCTATTATAAGTCTAGTTTTAATTAGTATAAGTTTACTCTTAATTTATCTGGTAAGAAATAAAACATCGTTTAGTCTTATTTTAATTGTCTAGTTTCGATGATTTAGTATAGATTGTTTGGATTAAATTAGTACAAGTCTAGTTTTGATGATTTTAGTATAAATTTGATTATATCAAATTTATACAAATTAGTATATCAAACATACCATGCGATAGAAAAGTGCAATCCGTCTTTTTTTTTTAATCTATGCTAATTTAAAAACTAACAAAAAGTTAATTTCAGGTAAATCAAAGAATTATTTCGTCATATATGTTATTAACAGTATTACTGAGTTAAAATATTTACTGCATAAAGTACCACTGATCAGTAATGCAGTCATCACAACAAATTTATTTCTGGTATTATTTATGCTCTATTCTTGGCTTATCAATAACAGGTTACTCTTCCAAAACTTTTTCTATTTTCCGTTCTATTAATTTTTGTAATTAATTTGTATAATTGAATTTGCAAACTAATCTCAATCAGCTCCATTATATTAGCTATTGGTATTATTTTAATAATAAATTAAATTATCAATCGATTAACTCAAATATTAGCAATTAGCAGCACCATTAAGCATAATTATCAAATTTCTATCACTCATAATTTCTCATTTTAATTTCCATTTCATTGATTGAAATTCAAGTAATCAATTTGCGAAAAATTTGGAATTTACTTTCCACAAAATAAATAAGTTACTCAGGATGAATTCTACCTAATTTCGATATTTTGGTATGTTGAAAGTGTTGAGTAAAATTTATGGAGGATTGATTTATTCTTTGACCGAGATATACCAGTGGAATACTAACAATCCTGATGATAATGAATTACTGAAATTATTTAATATTTGAAGCAAAACTACTGTACGGATTGAAATTTTTGCAGCACAGAATTTTGGATCACTGGTACTATGTCCACCAGGTGGTCAATCATTTGCAACTGCGTATATGATGGCATGTGAGATGAAGAAACGACGTCGCAGAAAGAGAGATCTTGGTAAAAATTTATCAGAAAAGTTAAATTATTTCAAAATAACTTTAAAATAAATGTAATTTCAATTCAAATACTTAAATATCATTAATGATCTGATATCATAATAGAATTCTACGATATTTCAATATTTCAATTACAACTCTCTGATTACAGCTATATATAGCGAACATAATAATTCTACATTTCTTTTTCTAATCAGTCATCTTATATAGAAATCCAATTAGTTATCTCTGAAATTCAGTTAATTTTGAATTCTCATTTAAATTTAATAAACATTCGTCAAAGATCAGAATTCAAGTTTAGAAAAATTTTAAAAAATGAAAACCTCACATTTATGTATTATAACATTCAAATAAAACCAAAACAAACAGTTGTTTTCCTCATCACTCCCTCCATTTTTCCTTATTATCATTATCTCCTTCCAAAATTTATGACAAAAACAATCTCATTCTAACAAGGATAATGTGTTCTTAATCAGAAATGAATTAAAATGTTTTAAAATCATTTACCGGAAATAAACTATTTGAATTCCGTTTTCTTTTTTGAATTCCATCCCTAACACGTTTATAGAACATTGTGAGTAGGAAAAAAAACATTGTTTGCATTGTCTAGAAAAGAAAAAATTTTGTCCAGGAATACTTGTCAAATATAGGATAATATGTATTATGTGCTTTTTATTTCCTTTTTCTAGCTAATATATTTAGCCAAGCAAACCAAATGAGCTATTCGACTTTAAAAATTGTTTAATAAAGAATGGAAGTTTTTAGTTCACAAAATACAGTTCATAGCAAATGCTTTACAGAAAATTTAATAGCATAATTTTCATTTTGCGTAAAATTGTATCTAAAACAAACGCAGAATTGAATTCAACCGGAAGTAAAAAAAGAAAAAATCATAATTTACACACAATATCAGAATTGAAATACACAAGAAAGGAAATAAATAAGTAATGGAAATTAATCACATTTACATTTGCACCCATCTGACAGGGTGCAGACTAGAAATGGAAAGATACGAAAAAAACAAAAAAGCATAAAAGAGGAGCAAATATATTCGAAGAGAAAAATTAAATATGAAATTTGAAAATACATATAAATTTGAAGTGAAATTTGAATTACAATACCTTGAAACAAGTCTTTGATAAGACAAAGCAAAAATGAATAAATTTCTAAATGACCTTAGGTCCAAAGCTTGCGCACATAAGCGAACTAAATACTTTAAAAAACGAAGTACAAGAGAAAATATCTCTAAAATACATTATCTGAATAGTACAAATAATTTAAAGATCACAATATCTTTAAAACAAAGAGGTGAATTTCGATCTTCAGAAGTGAACTTTTTCCTTTTGAAATACTTTAACTAGTCAAGAATGAGATTTATTTTAACCAAAATTTAGAATTGTTTCCTATTTCAGAAAATTTGATGCGACCAGCAACACTGAAAGAAGTTCAAAATATCTGCTGTGAAGTTGGCTGTGAACTACGAGACCTACTGAATTACTGTGATCCATTTGGCTGGTTTGATAAGTGATCAACAATGTCTTGATTAGAATGCGTCTGTACCACCTTCCCACTGAAAACAACATTCGGTTAATATTGCAGAAGAAAAACCTTTAAGATTTTCTTGAAGTTCAAATCACATTTCCAATTCTATCAATTTAAATGCAAATACAGATATATATATTTGCATTTAAATGACATGGTAGAAGCTTTCAGATAAGATCAAAATTTGTTTGTGACAAAAGTGACAAATCAGCTTATTTCAACGTGAATTAGCAATTCTTGAAAGTTGTCTTTAGAAAATTTTTTCTAAATGTTTAACAGAAACGTAATTGCTACACTACACTAATCATGAAAAACGATTATCAATAATTCGCCTTGATTTTAAGTAAAGTTTTGAAAGTCGCTTACAAGATGGTATCATTTCAGAACTGATAAAACATATTTTAAAAAGAAAAAAAAGTCCAATAAAAGTCTTATGTAAAAAGGGGAAGTATCTATACATATCCAAAATTAAAAAAAAAAACTGAATCGACATTTCCATTTATGTATGTGCAAATATAACGACCAATTCGAAAACCAATGTAAGTGATATTAATTTGCTGCACTTATGAAATTATTTTATAGCATATTTTAACATTAGAATGATTCTAAATTATTTATATATACCTGAATTAATGAATGCGCAGGTGAATTAATGGCATCTTGCACAGCTTGTGAAATATGCATTTGCATTTGATCAAATTTCATTTTAACACTTTTTGCTTGCTCAACATGTCCATATTGTATTTGGGTCTCTGGAAATCATTTTAGTAATTAGGAAAAAAATTTCCAGTGAAGGAAAAATTATATTGCAGTGAATGTTAGACTTCAATTTTCTTACCCAGAAAAAATATTCAAAAATTTTTTAGCTCTTTTTCACAGGTTAATTTCAATATTGAAAATTTCAGTGGTTTAAATTCGGTCATCTCTCATTATTATTTAAATTTCATCACAAAATTTAATTTCAGTATTATCTACGGAATAATAACAAGTTAGCAAAGAGATTCAAAATGTTGACAGCTAAACTTTGCAGTGAGTTAAATTCACAAAGTTTCAACATTTAGCACTCACTGTCCTTGAGAAGCTGAAATTAAATTTTATCCTGAACGAGTAATTTCAATCAAATTTACTCAATTTTTAAAAAATATTTAAAAAACGAGAGTCGCTTTTGTTTTCATATTAAATAACTTTTCAAATTCTAAATGATTTGTATGTAGTTTAATAATCGCTTGGGAAATTAATTTTAAATCTTGGTACTAAATTCAATTGTTTTTATCTGTCTTAATGTTTTAAATATTTACAAGGACTTTCTAGTTTTAAATTTTGATCAGGAGAATGAAATTTACCGTATATTTTCTGACTTAATAAGGCAATCAAGAATTAAATATGATAAATTATCCAGAATTTAGAAAAAAAATGAAAACCAACCGTATATAATTTGATTTAACCACAATGCTAAAGAATGGTCGGAACTTTTCGTTGCAAAATTATTTGCAGCAATTAACATATCAGGCACATCAACAGCAACTAGTTTAGCGGAAAGAAGCGTTGCAAGAGCTTGTATCCGTGGTACACCCTCATCACGTACGATTGTTACGCTATCTGTTATATGACTTCTGCAAAACTGTCTTCGTTTTTTCTAATACTTGGAGAAAAAAAATGCTATAACACAGATATCACATACCATCTACCCAGTTTACAAAAATCTCATCGTCCTTTCGTTTTTCTTTTTCTTTTTTTTTTCTACATTCACTTTTATCCGTATAATGATATTGGTCCATTTCCATGTCAAACTTATTAATGGAAAGATATACAGTATTTGAATTATAACTACGAATTCGTCGCATAATGTCAATGATCGTTTTGATCAATAAATAACAGAAATCTTTCATCATACATTTCATCTTATGGTTGTTCCCTATGGCAGTTGTTATTTATACTAGTGGTATTAGCAACATAGGATAAAAGTTAATAGAAAAGTCTCTGATTTTCACATTTACTAATAATAAAAAAAAGAACAAATCGCCCCCAAATCTTCTTCATAGATAAAAATATCCTTAAATTTCTGTTCATGAAATGTAAATTATACTAAAGTTATTGTACCTAATAAGTAAATTAAGTAAAATTGCTGCCCATAATTTTATGATTTGCATTTTCTCGAACAATTATTTTCCGAAAGCTGAAATCATCTCAAAAAAACTATCTTTTGAATTACTGTGGTATTACTTACATACTGTTAATATAATTTATTTGATTTTTCAGATGTAATCAAATAAATTATCTTTTAGCTATACGCAAACAAACACAGTTTGCATGTTAAGAAAATTTAATACAACCAATAAACTTACTTAGCTTCTTGCAACCTGGAATGCAAATAAGAATGCAGTGCATGCACGAAATGAGCGGACGCTTTCAGAAGTGACGAACTGGATTGCAACTTCCCAGGTGTAATTCGCTCGAATAATCCATAAAAGTCAGCTTCACGACATGTCAACAAATACAGGATAGCTAAGCTTAAGTTTACTACAGTCCATGATTCTGTGTCTTTCGCCGTCTGTAAAATTTATTATTTAGTATCTGAACACTTGAAAATTTTTTTAAACGTCAATAGTTTAAAGAAATCAACCATGTAAAAAAGGTACATAAGAAATGTTAACCACGTCATATAAACACGTACGTACACGTGCGTCGAACAACGAACCTATACATATTCTAACAAAAAAACTACCGAACAACGAACCTATACATATTCTAAGAACAAAAAAAAACTATCAAGGATGATGTTATGAACTCTTATTATGCACGAATCGATAGCTTACTCTTAAAGCAGCCTGAAATTGTCGCTCTGCATCATCTGGTAAATGCACAAACCAGCAATACATACCCTAAAAAGTGTAATTCATCATTCCAAGAACAGCGAACGAATGTAAAAAACTATCTATTTAACTGATTCTTAAAATTTACGACTGCAAAATTAAAACGACGATTAAAACGACGAAATTAAAACAGCAAAGTTTAGATTTGATATTTCAATAGTGATAAAAAATCACTGTTCTTTCATTTTTCATTTTGTTCTTCCTTTCTCTTCCCACCAATTTTCCTGTTTTTTTAAATCACACCATCACCAACTAATCTTATGAACTGGAATCTATCCTTTACTATTGAAAAATACTAAAATATCAACTAAAATATCAACCAAAAACATTTGATTGGCTCAGAAATTCGATCTCCTGTAGGAGTTGGAAAGAAATGATTATAGAAATCAATATTAAAGTGAACAATAATCACACGTTTTGGTATCGTAATTGATAGTTGTAAGAGAATACTTACCAGTAGTGTATGCAACTGAGCTTCAAAATGACTAAATAAATCGGTACTTTGCCTCATTCGTTCCATCATAGCACCTAGCTGAAATATTTAAGAATTTTATAATTCTAAATTTTTATCTTTCAGTGGGAAACTTAATTTTTCTGAAATTTGCTGGTTTCCAAATTATTTTTATCTCCCTATAACAAGTGATCTGAAACATCATATCATGCATGGAAATTGCACAATTATATGGGATAGATATACAATTAATAACAAGTTTTACGATTCGATTTGTAATACTAGAAGATTTGTAACTTTTTTTTTTAAATACTAAAGATTTAGTTCGAACAGATGTTCAGTATACAGTAACGTTACCAAAAGACAAAAAGGAAGCAATCCGTGTACCAAATTTCTAAGTTGTCTCATGATATTCCTTCTAAAAAATACACGATATACTTATACGCATGTGCTAAAAACATGGAACAAGTGAAAATATCCTTTATTAATTATAAGTATTATATTAAGCATGCAAAGTTTTTTCGAAAACATTCGAAAAACCAGAATGATGATAAAAATTGGGTTAAACATACAACACTTATAGTCTCCAACGGTCGCGCTAGCATCAATTGTGCGGCGGAAATATTTTCCAATAGTATGATTTCAAATGCAGCCAATGAATCCAACGCTCCACGCCTTATCACTGGCCAATTTGATTTAGTCATTAAACGTCGCATGTCAGTAATGTGCCGCATAGCAATCGAATGATATTTATGTGCCCTGTAAGGAGTAAAGATAAATAAATTGAATTACTTGTTAAGCTTTGTTTAATGAACGAAGATCACTTTTATGCTTAGTAAAAAGGAATATGCAGACTGTCTCTTATTATAAGGCATATAAAACATAAGACCATTGCACTCCGTGTTGGAGAAAAATCTTAAAATCGATTAATATCAATTAAAATCACAATCATTGTAACAATAATTTACTAATATCTGATATCTAGAAGCTGAATGTTACTCCACAATCCCTAATCATTTATTGCAATTGAATCCAGCTTAGTAGCTTGAATATTTTTGGAAAGATTGCATTTTTGATCTTTGAATTTTTCACTGAATAAACCTATTCAACTTCTTTCAAAGATGAAAATTCGCATCTTTTCCACAATACGAAATCAGCATCATATGCACTTACCTTCATATATCACCAAATAAACTTTACTTACGTAATCAATGAAAAAAAAAGGGTTACAAGCCAAACATTTTCGACATCATAAGTTTGAAATGAATAATCTGAATAATTTAATCAAAAATTGAAGTTTGCAATTCATTTACTTTGAAAAATCCATCTAAAAATTGATTTCAATCAATTTTTCAAAAGCGGTAGCTGTATGGGATCATGAAACAAACCCGTCATGTAATTAGCAACGGGTCTGTGATTAACTGCCCTTCCACTTTTGCCACCACTGATTTGATAGCACCTGCATTGAAGTGCAATGCGCATCATGCCCAGTATAGGTGGCTTAACATGAGAACCAGAAATGAACCTTCGACCATTTCGCTATCGCTAGGAACCACTATACCAAGAAGTACACCTCTAAGGGCTGGACTAAATTAGTAGAAAAGATTGTCAAAGTTAATGTAATAACTAACCTTTCAATTTGGCATGTTTGTAAACTTTGTATCACAGTAAGAACGTATGTAAGCGCAATTAGCGTTTCTTTACCCATCCAATCAAAAGCTGGCCATACTACCGGAACTGTTTCATCATAGGTTAATTTCATTGTTTGCACCAATGTTTGCAATTGTCGCAAACATGTTTTTGTGCTTTTTAACTGAAAAATTTTGAGCAAAAATGAATGGATTTGAAATTGAAATGTATTATTTGAAATGATTTTATTGACTGATCGATACAACATTCAGTTAAAAATTTCATTGTTCTCGAATTAAGATAATCAAATTTACCATTTTTTTCCGAATTCAACGAATTAGTTCAGATTTCCGTATATTTGGATCAAATTTTGAAAATGAAAAATCTCAACATTCCCAAATTCTTTTTTATGGTTTACGCATAAAAATCCAAGTTAGCAAACTTGACCTATTCTAGTTCTTCCTAATCCGAATTCGATTAAAACTTTTAAATACCATCAAATTCAAAGTGTAATCATTTCAGCTTTTGATTTTATTTTTTAAAGAATCTGACATTTAGATTTAAAACCTTATTATTTTTAACGTGATGTTACTTAATCAAAATTTTCGATTACATTTAAGTTGCAAATGCTAAAATCTGCTAACTTTAACGAAACATAACAAACCAAGCCAGCTGATATGAAGAAACAAATTTGGACCGTACAACAAAAAGCTTTGATATAATCCAAACACGCATTGTCGGGATTCAGCATTACTAACTTTTCACTTACTTCCATTATACTTTTCATCAGATCTTCTTCCCGACTTAAATCCATCGATATAATCTGTAATATTAAGAGAAACAAAAAATATGATGACATTGATGACAGATGAAATTTGTAGTACGATTTGATTAAGATATTTGAAGGAATTTTTGGACCTAATTGTTCTGTTGGACTATACTTCGTAGATTGATGAACGTTTTTTATATTTCCTAGAAAAAAAATCTTTTTCTTCTCCTAATTTTTTTTCGGATATTTCCCAGAAAGGGCAAAACAACTTCCGTTTATTCATTAATTGTTCCGAAAGTTTCAGTGATGAAAAACTGCAGCATTAGTGCAACCTTACAATACCATGGTTCTGTTATGTGGAAATTCGAGAAATTTCTTTTGAATCACGTTTTACACATTATCGGGTATTTTGGATTTTTACCAAAACTGTAAAAGAAAAAATTTCAAAGCACCAAACTAAGGATTTCTAAGAATGACGCAAAGTCAAGTTTCACTTGGCTTTTGGAATAATTCTTTGGAAATCTCACAAATTACCATGCTGTTCAACTATTTCCCTAATCATACCATTGCAGATGAAAGACGAAAATAACATTCCAATGCTGGATCACCAAGCTGACTGAATAATGATGCTCCCGCTTCTACTATTTCACTTGCATTATTCCAATCATTCATTGCTCCATGGATTTCCTGAAACAATCCCTCCATTCAGTCTGAAAATAATTTTTGATCTCACTTGATAGGTTATCTTTCCGATATTGCTAATAAACACTCACAGAAGTCTTTTTAACACTAAATTAAGACTGTTCACATCATTCAGCAGATAAATAATTTAACAGAGATGAACTATTTTTTCACTGTCATAGCTAGCTTCAATTTACTTCATTAATGATGATACAGTTAAATCAGCTAATTAGCAACAATAGTATTATTAGTAACAAAAGAAGTTCAAACCTAAAATAATATTCTTTTTTAAATGAAACCTTGTGTCTTCAAAAAAGAACATATATTTAAATCCTTTTTTGTTATAGTAATATCATCGATAAAGAACAATTCAAAACAAAAAAAAAAAGAAAAAGAAAAAGAAGGAATACCGCAAGTAGGAATAAGAGACGTGCATGAATAAGAGGAAAATCTCGGGAATGTGCGGATTCCTTCCGTAATAGCTGCTTCACTGGTTCCAAAATTTTCAATTGCATGTACACTTCGGCAATTGAACAGGCTATTTCTACTCGATATTTGGTATATTCAGCACCTGCTTCTTTCATTCCATGATACTAAAAAGTTAGACAAAATGACTTAACATAGTAATATGATAGTGTAAAATAACTACACATAAAAAACTAATAGCAGTATAAATGCAAAACATCCCATAGAGTCATAAAAATGCATGGAAATTTTAATGTACTAGTGAAGCGATGATCTAGTGATAAGCTAATGATAACCGAATCTCACATTTCAACATTAAAGAATATAAATTTTCATTACATCATGATATCATGCGCAAGTTTCGTGAAATTAAAAGAAGTATATGGTTCCAAATTTCTGCTATACTAACGTCAGTACATATATGAAGTTTGCGTTACAAATAACGACATGAATACATAAAAAAGAAAAAAAATACTGTGCCAACAATGGGAAGTTTAATAAAAATAAATGAGATACCGCTTGTTCTAAATGATGCCTTGCTAATTCAATGTTCTTCGTATAATAAAAATATAATTTTCCAATTTGAAAATTTACAAATGATGCCATTTCATGCGTCATCAAAGTTTTGAAACATGCCTGAATTGGTATTTGACTTTGAAGGTTAATTAATCAGTTAGTTACGATAAATCTAATATGCAGTAATGTTGAAAACAAGAAAATTGATTTGACCGAATTAAAAAAAAGTACGTAGATGTTTCTTTTTTTAATTGATAGAGTTGTGTTACTCATTCCTAAATACAAATTCAAATTGTTAATATTGAAAATTTTGCGTAAATAAAAACTGCAAAATAGATAAAAGTTCAGAAAAAATTAATTATAAAGATAAATATTTCCTGAAAAGAACCAATTGAAATTTAGATATAAAACATTTAAAAATACATAAGGAACCTTTAAACATTTAATGGCCATTTTATATTTCGGAGGATTGTGTGACCGGAAAAATTCAGCCCCTTCCAGCAATAATATGGCCGCTTGATCAAATAAATACCTTTCCGGTAAATAATTGTCCACCACACTCATCCTGAAATGAAACAGATTTTTGATTCTATCATTCAATCATTTCAATTCTTATGTATAACGTAAATTACAAACAACAGTACAAATGCTTATAAATATACATATATTCAAATTCAAGTTCCAATTCAAGTATAGTTTTCATATTTTATTGCAATTTTAGTAGCATTTACCACTCGTTTTGTGTACTGCTAGAATTACATCTATCAAGAAAAATTTGAATTGCATGCTATTTTTGAGTTTCGGAAATATTTTTCCAATCGGATTATTTGAATATCCCTTTTCCTTTCTTTTCAATTTCCGGAATAATTTCACAGTGAACTATCTTAATTGTAGATTATTATTATTCCCTTAACACTTATCTCAACCGTAAATTACTTACACAAGATAAGTACTTTTACAATTCCCTTTGAAATTTTCTAAATAATAGAAAATACAAACACATACGGTCGAAGTAATAGAAGAATGTAATCAAAAAGAAAAATTATCAAATATTTTAATTAAAAATAAAATTTATTTTTATGTTTTGAAAATGGAATAAAAGGTTGGAAAGAATTTACAGATAATACTAAATTATTAATTCGATAAGTATCATACAGCTAATCCATTGGCTAATACGACAAATTTACGAATAACTGGTGGATAATGCATACAGGTAAGTAATGAATAATAGGTAATGAATGAATCAGTAATGAATACTTAAATAAATTCACATATTTCGAGTAAAAAAAAAAAAAACAGCAATTCTCTACATATACTAATATCAACCAAAACAATACGTTATACGTTAATCATACAAAACTTTTCAATGCTTCCATTCCATGTACGTCTGGAAGATGGCGTACATCTGAATGATGACGTACGCCTGGAAAATGACGTCGTATTTTACGCTATTTTATCTATCATTTGTATGATGAAGCTGCTGATAGAAATATTAGTATGTTACAATTTATCCATCACTTACCATTGACCCTAACCAAATCTCTGAGAGTTCTCTCTCTTTCTCTCTCTCTCCTTCTCTCTCTCTCTTCCCCTCTCTCTCTCTCCTTTTTTTCCCTCATGCCTTTCAAGTAATACTGCAATCGAATTGCATGCAGCGTAGTGTAGCTGCACTACAGCGTAAATTATCAAATGAAAGCCATTTGGTGGAGAAGGGAAATGAATGTATATCGGCCGAGTAGTCGTATCACCACCATCACCGCCATCACTCAGCTAAATGATGACAAGAGGACAGCGACGTATCGATCGCGTATGTGTCTGTCTCTGTCTGCGTGTATGTATGTATGTGAAACTCAGCTGGCATGTATGTTAACTCCATTGATTTCATATTTGTGTGTATGCGTGTATGTATGTATATTTGTGTGTGTGTGTGTGTATTTGTATGTATGTGTATTTGTGTGTATGTATTGCGCGTGTATGCGTATGTATGTGTGTATGTGCGCGTGTATATGTACGTTCGTGTATGTGTGTATATATATATATATATGTGTGTGTGTGTGTGTGTGTGTGTGTATGTGTATGTGTTTTGTATTTGTGTTATTTGGCTTTTACAAGGTTCGCATATACACATAAACAAATAATATTTCATTTCTCTATTTTTAACACTAAACTCGTTAAGACTGACTTGCACTATTGCTGTCCATTACGTTTATTTCTGTATGTTCTGTTGGTCACTCCCATTCTATTGGTCAGTTACCCCTTAAATTGTGCTAATTATTCCTCTCTTTAGTCTTCCTCTGAATTTATTGTTAATACCAAATTGCGTTTTGAGAAAATCCTTTAGATTAACGAAAATAACCGGTGATTAAATGAAGGATAAGTGGTATCACAGAGAGAGAGAGAGAGAGAGAAGTAAACGGATCGATTTGATGTTCACAATAAAATGGCCTGTTTTAATGATTATAATTTGAATAAAATTGATGAAGCGATTGATAAGTGATAACAGTTAGTTGCAGCTGTTCCGGAATGCTCCAGATATTGCATAATAAAACCAGTTAAAATGGATAATTGCGGGTTGATTCAAATTGCCATACATACTGTCGTGCTATTACCAATGCTATACTGCTACTGCTATTCCGATCTTTATCCGTAATTTATTTCCTGCTAATTGCATTGGTGTTTTATTTCTATTATCTACATGTCTTATTCAATTTAACAGATAACAATGCAAACAGATGATCATTCCGGTTCCATGCCGGATATTGATTGCACCATGTCACCAGTAACAGCAACAGCAACTGTAGTGGTAGCACCACAAGCATCCGGAACTTGTAACAGTATGGAAGCGAATTTTACGACTGGTATGCTTTAAGTTCACGTGGAATTTACGTGAATTTTAATTGAAATAAGGGAAACTTTGGAATTTTATCTTTTTTTTTCTTTTCTTTTAACAAATTATATTGAACGAAAAGATGATTTTGGACAAGAATAGGCAACTATTTTATAATATTTATTATATAAATCATTTAATATTGACATCTTCAAATAAATGACGTGAACTTTTGACAAGAAGTGATTTATTTAGGTTAATTTTCAGTTTTATTGTTTTGTTCATTTCGTTAAACAATTATGTTGATAAAGTAGTTAGTATTGAGAGTTACCAGACTATTTTATAAACAACTCTCGTACAACGAAATCAATTGTAATCGATTTTGCTAAAAAATTTTATAATTTATTTTAACTGATTTTATAAATTTTATGTTCCATTTTAAAAAGTTTTTCGTTTTAATTTTTATAGTTCCTTTTAAAAGATTAACTGATAAAAGTTCTTTCCTTTTTTTTTTCTCCATTACCAGTAGTCCTATAACTTTGCAGTTTTACTTCTTTTTTTTTCTTTTCTTTTAACAAATTACGTTGAACGAAAAGATGATTTTGGATAAGAATAGGCAATTCGAACCATTTATCAATTCAGTGTTACTTTTGGATTATTTATTATGATGATTTGTCTTGCATAAAACTATACATATACTCATCTTTTACCTCTCTCTCCCTTTCTCTCCCTCTTTCTCTCCTTCCCTCTCCCTCTCTCTCTCTATCTACTTTTTTTTTCGACCAATGAACTACGTACGTATTTTTAGCGATAAATAGTCCAAAATTAAATTAAGAAAAAAAGAGCCAAAATAAAATATTAAATGAATCAAAATATTTATTTGTATAGTGTATTTATTGACAAAAAAAAAAAAGAAAATTGTGAAAAAAAAAAGATATTTATTGAGGTTATTGTTAAACTAAAGCCTGGAGTTCCTAGTCCTACCCCATTATCGTTTAAGCCCAAATTTTCAAGTGCTTCTTTTTTCTTTATCATAAGTAATATGCATACATTTACATAAATCATCTTCCCCCTTTTTTATTTCCATCCCCTCTCATTCCGTTAATTCATCATCTTTAAATATTTTCTCATTTCTACTTTTTACTTTTTTTCTATTATTGTTATCTTATTATTGTCATTGTTTACTATTATTGTTATCGTCGTTGTTGTCCTTATTTTTATTGTTGTTTTTGTTGTCATTGTTGTATTTACTATTATTGTTATTGTCGCTGTTATGTTTACTATTATTGTTATTGTTATTTTTATTATTGTTGTTTTTTCCTGTTGTTATCGTTGTTGTTGTTGTTGTTGTCATCGTTTTATTATTGTTGTGTTGTTTTTATTCTTACCTTATTTTTGTTGCCACCGTTGTTTTTTTTTTGTAACGCCTTTTTGTTTTCGTTTATTACTTGTTATATTTTTGAATGGATGATTTATTTGATTATATTCCCAAGAGATTTTTATCTCTCTGCACGATTTTGTATGTCAACAAGTTATCGTGCTGCTAATAGGATAACTAATTGCTATAAAATTGATTAACATTATAATTTAAATTTAAATAATTAAATGACTTAAGCGATTTAATGCATTTTGTTAATACATTATCTATCGCTCTATTAAGACAAATCTACTGCAATATAAGTAATTGAATTTTTGGGATTAATAAGTTAATCAAATGACAATTTTAATTCATTGTGAATGGCTTGTTACAGAAAATAGCTTTCTTTGCTCACAAATAGATTGGTGAATTAATTCGTTTACATTTATCGAATTAATTGATTAACTTATTTAATAGTAGAATAATTTATTACAACATCCTATTTTTGATTTTTTTGAAATAAATAATTAATTTGATAGGTACAATTTTCATTTTTATTAAAATTACTGGATGAGATGGGCAATTAATAATTAAATAAGCTTATGCAAGGAACCTTGTCCACTCTTATCATTATACAAGGAAAGATACTAAACTGATAATTTTTTCGTTTATTAAAAAATTTCCAGAAATTTATAAGTCTAATGATCAGGTAAATTTTTTCATTTTTCCAAAAAAACAGATAGATAGAAGGGATAATTAATTCCAGTCATATCGAATTTTCCAAAACTTTAAAATCATATTATCCTTGGAAACTTTTAAATAGTTATGGTTAAGATCATTCGAATTAAAATTGTAATTATCCAATTTTAACAGTTACTTACTCACTTTCTTACTTGTGCAATCATGGAATAAAGTAATGCATATAACTGTAATGTGTTTCGTACTTATGTTTGATTCATTGATTTACGACATTTTGTGTCTACAGTTTGAGGTAACATTTTTATGATGGCATTTTGTGAAGTTGACATAATGACATGTAAGAATGTTTTAACAAAATTTATAAAAATATTTCACATATCAAATGTTAGAAAATTTTGTAAAACTATTATAAGCCATTTTAAGGTACGAAAAAACGGATGATAATAATTAAAAAATTTTCTTTTTTGGATTCATAATAGTTACTGTAACCAAGAAATTTTGAAAATAGTTATAAGTTCGGTTTATAATATTAATATTAATATGATGAAAATAAGGTATGTGAATAAAAGTTAAAGACAGGTGGTTTTTTTCTTTTTTTTTTTTTGAAGAATTTAAAATTTTTTCCCCCTCTCTTTTCGTCATTCATTGATCATACTGAAACCTATTTAAATTTTAATTGTCCATGTATATAGACCATTCCCATTCATCGTCATCATTTAATTTCCATTTCTTATATATATATATATATATATATATACACATGTATGGATTGTCAGTGAAATTTACTAAACGATTCAGAAGTTATCACTATGTTTCTATTCTTTTTGTTCTTGATTACGCAATTAAGTGAATTAATTGATTAATTAAGGCATGTTTCCAATCTATCATTTTATTTCAAAAGATGGACTTTGTTTTTAATTTTGAATTTTAATTTTTTGCAAATTTAAAAAAATTTGCAATTAGGGATGAATGTACTTAAATTTAAATTTGTATTTCGAAGGAGTGTGTTTTTAAAGTGTACATTTGCAAAAGAGATGTTGGAATTAGGAATGGTTCAAAGTTATATTTCAAAGGAATGTACTTTTAAACTTCAAATTTTAAGTCTGAAATTTTTTACATATTTGAGAAACAGACATTTTGTTTTGTTTTTCTTTTTTTTTTGCAGGTAAAATTGGATTGAAATTTTCTATCGTTGTTATGTTTGATTGATTATACTATTAAACATCATTATAGCATTATACCATTCAACGTTAGACGCATCATTTCATTTCTTGTTGTTTTTTTTTTTTTTCAAGTAATTTGAATATTTTGTTTTTGCCATATTTTTCATTCGCAATTTTAAATTTGACAAAAAAAATTAAGGAAATTAGTAAATGTGTCTTTTACAGTTATTCATATTTTTAATTAGGAAAAATTTAGAATTTTTAAAAATTTGAAAGTCTTTTGTTGTTCATTAGGATTAAAGAAAAAAAAGAAGAAAAAAGTGAGAGAGAAGGAGAGAAAAAGACAGAGAAAGAAAAAATGTCTCCAAGGATTTCAATTTGTTAGCAGTATTAGTTACTGGATTGGAAATCTCCGTATTGTCTATCCTGTTGATTGATTTATATGTAAATGCAAATTACTTCTTTTTCCTTTTATTTTCTTACCACTTGACACGGCGATGATAATAAAAGTGTTGATGGTAATGATAATGATAGCAATGTTAATGAGAGTAATATTAATAATGTTGGTATGTGTTAATGATAGTAATATTAACGGTGCTGATGATGGTAATGATGATAATATTAGTGATAGTAGTAATAATAATAATCATAATAGTCATCGTAATGATGTTGATGATGTTGATGATGATAATAATGTTTTCTTTTTATTTTCTCAAAATTTTTCCCAATATACTTGAATAGATCATTTGCTTAGGAAAAGGATGAAAGAAGCATTTATTTATTTGTTTATTTGAAATTCCTCTATCCTTTTCTTCATCTTCATTCCAAAAAATTTTAAAATTTCACAATGTTTTCTATGACTTAAATTGTAATGAATGAAATGGGAAATAACTGCTTTTCGAATAAAATAATAGAGTAATATGATTAAAGATTAAACTTTTAATAATAGGATAAGGAAAGGTAGAAAAAGGTACATGAATTGGAAGATACGAGAGATGAAAGAAAAAATCATAGAAATGATGAAGAAAGTACGGGAAATGGAACAATCATTGAAATTAGAAATTCAATCCATCGAAATTCAATTCAAACAAAACTTTTAATTTATCATCAATTAACTCTTCATCGTTCTCTTTTTGCTCCTTTATTTTAAAACATTAACACAATAATCGATGGCAAAATAGTAGATATATTGGAAGAAATCTTTAAATTTATTGAAATTATTGAGTTAAACTTTCAAAATGCGATTGTTTAAGTGTAAGCTTAGGGGTTTAATTGTTTATGTTTAAAAATTTAAAAAAAGGTTGATTTCAATAAAAAATTAATTTTAGGGAAAAAATTGAGTATTTGAGAACTTAATTATTTAGTAATAATAGTTGATAGCACATTTATTACGAAAGCTTTTCCTATTAACCAGTTAAAATGCTAACAAAGTATTGTTTTATTATCAATTTGTCATTTTAATTGGTTTTATTTGTGGATGAAATTCATCAAAAGGTTTAATCGTAACAGAAAAAAAATGATAATTAAATTAAATTAAATAGTATGATGTTTTCGTCACCTACCATCGACGTTCATTTTTAATGATATTAATGAAGGTTTGGAATTTGTGAAAAGAGAAGGGAAGAGAGAGATAGAGAGAAAATGAAAATTAAAATCTGTCTTTAGTTTAATTCCTATTCGATCAATATACCGGAATTTGAAACTTGAAATTCGATCATTTTGAATTTCTTGTTAGCTTGAAATTTGCAAAAAAAAAAAATGAATATGGATTTTTTCATTCGATGATTTAATATAAGAGAATAGTAACATCAAATGATCTAAGCATTAGATAATCCATGAAACATCAAATAATTTAAAAAAAAAGAATGAATGAATAAAAAAGTAAGCAAAATTTTTTTTTCTTCAGTTAAATGAAAAAAAAGAAAAGAAAATTTGATTTATTGTTCATTCAATTTTTAATTTTTCAAAATTTTTAATTCTCTTAATAATTGTAATAATTCATTAAAGTTTTCCAGTATAACATAAATAAAATACATATGGTATAGGATAAAATGTACAGTTAACAGGGAACTATTAATGATATACAATTGATTATTACTAATTGGTAATTTGTATTTAAGTAAATGTTTCAAGCTATTATATGCTTATTCTAAATACAGCTTACCTTTACACATACATGTGTTTATATATGCATAATGATTCATTTAAAGTTATTATCAGAACAATTAAATAAACTTATATTATGGTTATATAAATTTGCATATCTATCATCTTCATATGTCTCAAAAAAAAAAAAAAAACAAAAGAAAAAGAAAGAATGTAGAAATAATTAAAGAAAAAAAATTATTTTTTTTCATCTAAATGTTAGTTTACACTTTGGTAATGTTAAATTTAAATTTGATTTTTAAATTTGACAATGAAAAGAACAAAAACTTGATTTATTTGTCAAAAAATTAAAATTGCTGTCGCAGGAAAAGAAAAAAAAGATAAAAGTTATGAAAGTTACAGTGAAATTAAATGATTATTTATCGGAGGAAAAAAAAAAGGAAAAAGTGGAATTTCGGGCTTTTTTTTTTTGCCCAATGAAAACGGAAAGTAAAGAGGTTGGAATTATCGGAATAAATTTTGATATCGTAAACCGGTTTTTTTTTCGGATGCATCTTCAAGATTATTTTTTTTTTTTTTTCTGTTTGCTGAATGCATTGGGAAAATTACTGAAGGCAAAATGGTAGCTTTCTTAAAATTAGCAATTTTTTATTTTTTATTTTTTCTCTGTTCTTCCTTTCCTTTTTCATTCATTCGCTTTCCCTTCCTTTTCTTTCCTTTCCTTTTCTTTGCTTTTAGCAAGATTAGACTTCTCAAATTTCTGTCACATAAATGAAATTTCATTCATTTCTTTCTATCTATCTTTCTTCCCTTTTTTGTCATCTTTTTTATCCTTCTTCTTTTTTTTTTCTCTCTCAACTAATTTTTCTGTTTTAAAATAGAAAAGAAGTTTAGAAATACATTATTTGTATTAAAATATCCCTCCAAAATTTAATGGTTACCGAATTTTGCTCGACCAAAGATCAATTTAGCTTTTTTTCATTTGTAACAAATGAGGGGTGATAAAGGTTCAGAAAATGATAAATTCTATTAATTTGGAAGAGGAATTTTAATCAATGTTTTAAAACGTATTAGCTTATCAAACATTGATAAGAATAGCTTATCTCCTGTTTTCTGTTGTATTACGCTGCCGCCTTTGCGGAATATATTTGAACTTTTGCGGATCATCAATTTGAAATCATTACTCTAAACTATGTATATTATTAATAGTTACATACCTTTTTTTTTTCCCATCTCTTTTAGTTTATGCATATGCAAAATTTTTGTTCACATAAATTGTTTATTGTTTATGCTCATTAACTATTAATTATTTATCACAGTTTAAATAAATGTTTGAAATTTCAATTATACTTTTTTTTTTGAAAATTTTTGAATTTTTGGAAAAAATTATGCTCTAAGAGTGAAATGAATACTACTGTAGTTTAATTTATTTGAATTATTATGATACATAAATTATCGTTTGTAGTTAATCAATAAGGAATGTGATGTGATATGACTATTAGTCCAACAAATAAAAAAATAAGGAATAATAAATTTGCATATAAATAATAAAAAATGAGGGACAGAAAAAGGAGAAAAAATATGAAATCGTTAAGTATTCAATTATTATTCGGGATGAGTTAACATATTTGAATGTTACGAATGTTTCACATTTTATTCTTCCAATTTTTTTGCTAAAAATTTTTTTTTTTTTTTTTTAAATCAATTTTAGTTTCTTCTCTTTGCTTATCGCTATTTTTCCATTTTATTGCTAAGGCTTATTTCATTTCCTTTTTGCTTATTAGTCATTTCATTTCACTTCATTCTTTAGTAATATTATATTTAACTATCATTTTATTATTATTCTGACTAATTTTCCACTTAATTAGTCCTTAATGAGTACAGAAGTGGAATACATTAGTTTCTTTTATATTTTACCTTTATCTTTTCATTCTTTTTTTTTCTTTTCTTATCCTCTCTATAGACAGCTTTGCTTGTTGTGAAATTTTGATCAAAGATAATTGTAAGAAATTAATTTTATCAAGAGAAAAAAAAGTGTTTTCAATTTTTTAACAAAGTAATTACTCTTGGAATTATTATTTGATTATTAGTAAATGATAGTTCTATTGTACTTTTTTATTTCTTTTCATTCAATTATTTAATTCCATTAATCTGATACGTTTATACTTACGTATTGCGTGTGCGCAAATGTCATATATATATGTGTGTGTGTGTATGTGTGTGCATGTGTATATGTGGCTATCTCTTAAAATATATGTGTGAATTATGCTTATGTACAGACCACTCATATGTCGTACGCACAGACAGGTACACACACCGGCACGGACATATGTATAAATATTGATGTTGGATGGGTAATGTACAGACAGAGCCGATATTTCGATACCATTGAGGTAAGCGCAATTGTTGTTTGTTATGGACGGCGCAATTGTTGTTGTTTGTTATGGACGGCGCAATTGTTGTTCTTTGTTATGGATGATAAAATGTTCGTGTCTTAAAGGTATCATTTATTACTGAGATGGGTCGTTGGATAGATGATATATGATGAATGAAAAATGGAAGAGGAGGAGGAGGAGGCGGAGGAGGAGGAGGAAGAAGAGGAAGAGAAAGAGGAAGAAAATGAAAGGTGGATAAAGAAAGCATTTGGGTAAGGAAGAAATTGTGAAAGATGAGAAGATGGGAATGTGCTAGGATTATGGGTTGGAAGAAGAGATGGATTTAAATGAGAGAGAGAAGGAAAAAGAAAAAAGCTGGGAAAGAAGAATTTTTAAAATGCTTTGACACACACACATACACACACACACACACACACACACACACATAGTATACTATCATTTGCCTATGTCTCATCCCTTTGTTTGCTAATCATTTTTTAAATTCAAGCACAAATTAAATTCTTCTTTTCTCTGTATAATATTTTTACATAATTTCTAACATTTTCTCCGGTTTTTTATTTCATTTTTACGATGAAATGACTTGTTTTTTTTTTCCGGATGTAATAATTATTTCCTGATTTGATTGATTCTATTTCCTGATTTGATTGAATGTATTTCCTGATTTGATTGATTCTATTCCGAATGTAATAATCACTTTTTCTTTTCGTTTTGAAAAAGAATCATTTATTCAATTATACGAATTCATCTGTTTTAAAATTTCTCCTTGTTTCACTTTCTTTTTCCTCAAAATAAAATGGAATAAATTTTGTGAAACAGTAAACCTTTCAGTTCATTGATAAGATTTATTTTAAGGACGTTTTTTCTGTTTCATTTCAACAGCATATTTCTTCCGTTTTCTTTTTCCAATGGCGATTACTGCATGTTTATGTGTGTGTCTCTCTGTCTGTGTGGGTGGGTGCGTGGTACGTGTGTGTGTGGGTGAGCGTGTGTGGGTGTGTGTGAGAGAATGTTTTTTCCTAATTTACTGTAAATGGTTGAGGGAATTCTAACTTTACAGGACAGTGTTCAAAATATTCCCAAGATATTTATTACATAATACATGACTTAAATTGATCGATAATGTGACGATTGATAAGAAATATAACTGATACCGTATATCGTCTAGCTTATCTTTTGATGAGGAAATATACGGATACTGTAATGGTCGGTAACAAAACAGACGTATTACGGTATACTATTTTATTTAATTTAGTGATTCATGATAATCGTAGCTGGTTTTTTTTTTTCTTCTGTGAAAGGAAAAAGGAAAGGATGAAATTAAGCAATGATAGGAGGATAATGATATTTCATAATATTAAACCTAATCAGAAGTTCGTTTTTTTTCTTTCTTGCCTTTTTATCTTTCTTTCTCTTCAAATGCGATTTTATTAATTTAAAAATAAGTAATGGAATTTTTTTTTCGACCTCCTTACCAATATTTCTGTCCTCTTGTCTTTCCATTTGATAAATGTTGATTAAAATTTTCAAGAGCGCTTTTGACATCCTTCTCTTTTTTGATTCCTTCACATGATATTTTCCATCGGTTAATTATATATTCGAGATCTATTAAATTCTTTTCTCATTGTTTATTACAAGTTTTGATTTAAGGGAATAGACGTAATATCATATCAAATGAGAAATGCTTATCAATTGTTGGTATAAAATAAGGAAGATTTATCAATTTTTGGTATAAGAATGGATATTCATCATCAATTCATGGTATAGAATAAGGAAAAATTGATAATTTTTCCTTATACAAATTGTAATTTCCTTTTGATATATATTTTAAAAAAAAAAGGAAATTTATCAATTCGTGATATGGGATAAGAAATATTTATCAATTCGTGATATGGGATAAGAAATATTTATCAATTCGTGATATGGGATAAGAATATTATCTAATTCGTGATATGGGATAAGAAA